ACTTTGACGCTGTAAAATTAACTTTGGTATTTTAAAATTAATCTTAATTGGCTGGTCATCTTATTTGGTCTCCTTTTCTTCATCGATAGCATCATATTCTTCCAAAAAAGAATATTCTTCCAAAGAAGAATATGGTGCTATCGATGAAGAAAAGGAGACCAAAGAAGATGACCAGCCAATTAAGACAAAGAAGAATATGATGCTATCGATGAAGAAAAGGAGACCAAAGAAGATGACCAGCCAATTAAGAAACCTGACACCTTAATTAAATCTAATTAAATAATTTTTGTTAAGATTTTTGATTAATTTTTAGAATTCTGTCTGCATGTGTGGAAATGATTTCACAATGGAGAATCAGATGAAACTTGCTGATTGTGATGGTGGCAAAGGCAATTTTAACCTCTTTGACGGTTAATATAAGCAGTTTTTATTGATTGTTTTAGAAAGTTTTAAGTAAAATTGAACATAAATAGTTTTTGTAAAATAAGGAAACTCATTTTGATCTCAATGAAAATGTTTCAAGTCCAACATCTAGTCCGAGCAAATGTTGAGAATTCAATCTATTTCAAATATATTTTAAATCATTAACATTTAATTTTCCATTTAATAAAAGTTTCTTTTATTTTCACATGAACAGTTTCTCTGGAAACAGATAAGCACACCAACTCAACAATATACCAATATTGCCTGAATGATGAAGTAGAGAGCAAAAAGAGTTATTGTACAGCCGCAGTTTGTTTGCCAGGCTGGAGCGGAACGCTTTGCAATCAGAAAGGTGCAGAATTTTACAAAACTAAGATTTATTTGATCGTTTGTGGTTTCAAAATTTTCAGCCAAAAACCTCTTGAGTACTTTTTATTGTACCTATAACTTTTGCTCAATGAGCGTGTGTGCTCAGTCGATAGAAGTACCATGTCTCGCTTTCTTACTCGCGATGACCTGGTTCAAGTACTGTCGGTTCTATATTCAAAGACAATACAAAATGCCTTGCGTGTGTGTTGAGATGGTGTGTATGTACATTGTATAGTGTATATGTTACAGATTTCGTGGAACAAAATTTTAGGATGAATATAATTATTGCAGAACGAGAGTAGAGCAGTTCCGGGCGTGACCCAGCTGCGTAATGAAGTACAAAAAAATGAACAATATAAGTCATCATTTTGTTACAAAATACTTTTCAATCGCAAACAGTTAATTTAATTTTTGATTACAAACCTCGGAAGCTTTATTTTATTATTGAAATATTGTTACTTAGTAAAAACTATAAATTTCCCAATGCTTAAAATTTAAGCCTTAAAATGTATTAGCTAAAAAAATTGTTCGCAATTCATTTATTAAAATGCACAATAGTAACGAAAGCATTTTTTACTTTATTCACAGTTAGAAGATTGAATATTAATAATAATAAAATGAAAATATAAATAATATTGAAAGAAAAAAACAATAATGATGATAATAATTATAATGTCATTTATAAAGCGCAAATTCAAGCGACTGAGGCGCCCTCGGAACAATGAAATTTTGTTTCGAGGCAAAATGTTGCAAATATGGGTGGGTTAAAAAAAACTAACCCAATATTTAATAAACTAATTTTTTCAACAATTATTAGTTTCTTAGAAATTAAGTTGTAGCAATTACAATTATTTTTCAACATTCCTGTTTGTGCAATGTGAAACATTTAAAATAAATTTGAATTTTCATGATATTTTTTGTTGCATTGCTAGGAGTGACACTACCTGAATTAAATGAAATTACAACGAGCTCCTCAAGAACACTGAATGTGACTGGCCGAATCTCTAACGTTCCAATAATATCGAATGTGACTGACCGAATCTCTAACGTTCCAATAATATCGAATGTGACTGACGGAATCTCTAACGTTCCAATAATATCGAATGTGACTGACGGAACAGACGTGGAAACACCAGCAAGTGATCCCATCACTTCATGTGAAGAAAATAATGGAGGATGTGGTGAGGACGTCTGTGTTGAGGTTCAAGGTGATGTATTTGATGTTCAAGTCAAGTGCAATCCGCCAGATGAAGAAATATTCAAAGTACCAGAAGTTTATGAGAATACAAATCTCGGTTAGGAAAATTTCTAAAAAGTAGTTGAATAGAACATTTTGATTTTTTTTCTTGTCTGTTTCTACAAGATGAACCTAAAAACGACTGGAATTACAAGGGTTGTTTTAACAAAGTGCAGTCCTTTAAGGAACTGATGATTGTTTCTCTAAATTCGTGTTTTGAATATTGTAAAGAAACATCATTCTACGCAATGAAGGTGAGTGGAGAGTTTACCCTTATTGATTCTGACTTTTAAGTTGTTTTAATTGAAATTTTTCCACTGAAAATAAAAGGAACTTTTGATTAAAAAAAATTCAGGATGGTCGGTTATGCACATGTGCCAACAGTGTTGAGAATGAAGCTGGTGCCGACAAATGCAATAAGAAATGTTCAGATGGGCTGTCGTGTGGGGGGTCTTCTTTCCATTCTGTATATGCCAGTAATGTGCTTGAGATCATTTTGAGTTTTTAGTTCAAATTGGCGAGTTTAGAATGACAGTAGAAATGCTATGTTTAAATTGCGTTGTGGCAATTGCGCGATGCTATTCATCCGCAACTTATGAACTTATGGACAAACACATGTCATGTGTGTTGTGCTTCGATTGGTGTGGTGTTTGCCATGCGTTGGGAATGGTACAGCTTTTTAAAAAGATAAAATGCTATAAAAACGGCTCAGCCTTTTTCGTAGCTGACTTATGATTTTCGAAGTACAAAAAAATACAACCTTCACGTTTCTCATTACAAATAACAGAAAAATCAAATCAATCAATTACGGTTGGATGTTTCAAATACCTGGATCTTGAGCACAAACATGATCAATTATTAAGTAAAGCTCTTTGTTTGGACAAATGCAAGGAGCTTGGGTTTCCGTACAGCGGGACCAGAGTGAGTTTTGAGGAACAGTTTTTAGAGAGTTATGGAATATTTACATAAATTGTTCCACTTACTTCGTTTTTATTTCAAACAGTATAGATAATAAAATCTAAATAATGCTTTTTGCAAATATTTCTCTAATTTTTCTTAGGATGAAACATGTCAATGCGGAAGAAAAATAGAATTCAAAGACCAGTTGAACAAGGAACAATGCGAAGAACATTTTGTATTCGCTTTTCTTTCTGACGGTTCGTGTTTGAATTTTTTCCTACTTTCCTCCAATGAATTTCTCAGAAGCATCAACAGCAAGCACATAAGGCACGGGACAGGCTGGATCTCCTTGCATTTATACCCTACAACTTCAGTGCTAGGCACATGAAACATTACGCCATCATGTCGCCTTAACATGTAGTTATACATTTGTAAAATTTATAATCATTCAGTTTCGCCAGAATTGGATGTTCAAGGTAAACCGACAAAATACAACTATTGCATGAATGATAAGATAGAAATTAAGAAAGCTTACTGTCGAACTGGCCATTGCAGAATTGGCTGGACTGGAGCACTCTGTGATAAGAGAGGTTCGAAAATTTGTTTCGAAAACTTTTTTGCCATTTTTGATACAATTTTTTAACTTGCACAATCTTTCAACTTGAAAGAAACAAATATCCAAAACTCGTGGTAGGTTTTTTTGAATATTCCATCAAAAATTTTTTGTCTTGAAAAATAAAATACAGTTTAATGGTATTGTACTTTAAGTTAATAGTATGAAAAATTGTTTAATAAATATTGTTGGTTTTGAAATAAACTAACGATATTTAGATTGCGGTGTTAATAACGGTGACTGTGGCAAGGAAATGATGTGTGTCCAAGAAATAGTAAACAATATCATGTTTGAAAAATGCCTGTGCGGAAAAGGTTTTGTAACAACCATTGAATCTCAATGTAAAAGTAAGTCTATTAAATTCAAACTACTGTTATAATCCACATGAATGTCTGGCTAGGTTTCAAAACATCAAATATATTTGAATTTCTAAACTAAATAATTATAATACCTATACTGGCCTTCGAACGCGCCCACGCACTTCAGTTTCAATGAACAAACTATTATTCATCAAACTCATCAACTTTTACAATTTTTTGCATTTTTTAGTTCATTATTAAATATTTATTCATTTTTTCAACTTTTTACATATTAAATATTTTTTATCTAAATTACTTCATGCATTTGCATAATATTCATGCGTGTTCTGGTGAACATATAGGCAACAGGCACCAACCTGTTTTAAACTGTAAATGTGCAATCGGTTGGAAATTGCACGCTTCAAGATTTATTTTTTAGTGGCTTTCTACATTTTTAGAAACGCGTGCGATTTCGGTTTATTTTTGATTCTTATTGACAAAAAATCACGTGATTTATGAATATTAATAAGGGAAGTAACAGCTTCTTATACATTTGTTATAACTTATTTAAAATATTCGTACTCGAAAAAATAGAATGAACTGTTGTTCGAAAATCAGTTAATTAACCTCCAAATAAAAAACAACAGTGTTTCATGCTAGGAAAATTTTGAAAACAAGTTGTAATTGATATATAATTAATTTGCAATCGATTTGCAAATTTGTACTTAGTTAAAAAATTATTTGACTTTTTCAAGAAATAAATTTTTAACAAAGAATTTCTTGATAACAAATTAAGTAAATATTTAAAAAAAAATTTATCCGTTAAACTTGAAGAGCAGGAAATGTTGAGAGAAGATGAGACAGACGCGGGTAGCAATCCTAACTATATTGTCATAACGATAATCATTGTCTGTTCACTTTTTATTTCAATGGGCATTGGACTCATCACGTACTTTTTATACAAAAGTCAGTGCGGTTAAAAATAAAAAAATCATTACTTTTCCTTAGAAAAATAAAAAAATGAAATGGAAAAAAAGTTTTTTTTTACTTGTCTAATTAATCACGAGCAAATGACTTTCAGAAGAATAAAATGTTCAGTCATTTGATTAAATTCAATAAAATAGATTTTATTGCATAGTTTATTCAGTTTAATTAATTTTTGTTAATTATTTTAATTTTATTTTTTGAATAATTTTAGAAAAAAAACTGGCTTCACCAACAGGTTTTTATTAGATAGAAACCTTTTTTCTTTTTTCAAAAGCATTCATGCAGTAGCGGATTCAAGGTGGGAGATGTGGCTGGCACCCTGCCACTATACCATGGGAAAAATTATTGAAGATTATGTGTATATACTAGTTTAATAAGGTAAACGTTTCATCAACTAAGAATCTTGGGATACGTCTCCCACCAAAATGATTAAACGGGATTACGAAAATTTTCATAAAAGGGTCTTCAGTTTTTATTATTTAAATTTTTTATTTTTTTCTATCATTGTACGTACTGGGCACGAAAAATCTTTACATTTTCTGCAACTGCAGTGCTAGCTATCTTAACCATTACACTAAGGCGCTGCACTGATTTACAATGTCGATTATTTTTTATTTGTCTATGATTCAACAGCGCTTCAGACTGGACAAGGTTATATCATGAAATTTGTTCAAAAATTTTTTATTTATATCTTTTAATTTTACGCTTTCGAATGTTTAATGTTGATGAAGAACCACTTTTGGTCATTTTGAAAATCATCTTTTTTTCAAGAAGTTCAATTTATCAAAAAAAAATATAAACCAACGTATTTGGAAAATAAAAATAGTAAAATAATCTTATCTTACTCGTTTTAAAGTTATGAAAACATCGTAAAAACATATTATGTGTATGTATTTAGTCTGTGATACGTCCTATCTTGGGGCAACTGGGTCTTTGGACGCTAAACGAAGATTGATTGATGTATTGATTTAGTCTGTGATAAAAATTGAAAGAAATAATTAAATGTAATTTTTTTCATTCAAGAGCAAGAGTCAATTTCAGGTTAGTGGTTACAATTATATTAAAGGTTGTTAACAAAAAAAATCTATTTTTTTCAGTATGTATTAAATGAATGTCATCAGTAAGTAAGACTTAACATTATATTAATGAGTGCACTTCTAAACAACTGCTACTAACTTAACTGAACAAATTTAAAATTTAGAAAATGTCCAATCGAATGAGTTAATTAAGTTGTATTTTTTGCGAATTTGTAGATTTTAGCTTCTGAGTTTAACGCTGTTTTCAATATATATTTTTTAACTATTTCACTTTTTCAGTTACACTAAAATCTAATTCATTTTTTAGTTTTGAGTTGCTTTTTCATAATTTATTCTTAAATTAATGTAAACATTGAATCATCACTCATTATTTTTCTAAATTGCTTACAGGCAGCCAATCAACTATCGGCTCGTGAAGTTATTAACAAGACTTTGGATTCTGCAAAGTCATCTAGCGCTATTTCACTTTCTCCATTAACTTTTCCAAAATTTTAATTTTTCTGTTTGATGTTAATGAATGAATTTTTTCACATGCTCAGAAACATCACAAAACTTAACGGAATTAACTTAAAAAAACAACGATACAGCTGCAATTTTTGATTTCTCATATTTTTGTACAAAAATATTGTTTCAATATTTAGAAAAAGAGTGAAATTATATTTTTATTGATTGTTTTTTTTCAGAGTATCATATATATAACATTATAGTTTCAAGTGAAACACCTAAACTTATCTACATCGAAAGTATAAATGAATAAAAAATTTCAAACACACCTAATTTCAGAACATTCACTACTACTCTCATTTGTAATTTAAAAAAAGAACTCTCCGTTTTTCTTCTAATTATTCTCTACAATAGACAATCAATGTGTTTTTTTTGGTATTACTTGATATGAGTGCTGCATTTTAGTGTATCGATTATACTCTTCTCATATATAAACTCTCCACAAATTTTTTTCTCTGATTCAGTCTTATAATGGTTTTTATTTTGAAAAAGTTGCACTGGTTGAGGGTTGAGAAACGTGTTTTCTTTAAGTTAGCAGTTTAAATGTGTCTATAATGCGGCATCTTTCTATCTCATTGATAGATTGTAATCATACATATCACATTTTCAAAATATTCTTTCCTATAAACCAAACGCAATTTATTTCTTATCTCAACTGCTAAGTTAGCGACGGGTTCCCGCAACTTTGCGGTTTTCGAACGGCTTGTTTGGAATGGTTAGCCTCCTTGCTTACGTGACCCTAACCTACCATATTTACAATGTTGAAGTCAGCTTAAAACTCCTTTATTTGTCTATAATTTAGTAGCGCTTTTGAGTTTCACCAAATAAAAAGCGCTGTATATAAATTTCAGTTATATATATGTATACATATATATATGTTTAAAAATAGTAATCCTGTAAAAAAACATCCAACAACAGGCTGTAACGATCCTACCAACAAAGTAGTTACACAAAGAAACAATGAAATTTAAAGTTCCTTTGTTAAAAATACTATAAATACCAGATAAACTACATATAAATTACCACAAACCCTATTACACTGATTTTGGTGTAGGTTACCGAAAATTCATTCTAGAATAATTAGAAATTTTATTATTCAATCAATCAATCAATCAATCAATTAGCTTATAAAGCGCTATTTCCGCGATGTTCAACAGCGCTCCTCAATGAATTTTGAAAACAGATGGGTCTTGAAATCCGCTCTGAACTTCGCAAGTGATGGAGAAATAGTTAGAGAAGTAGGTAGAGAGTTCCAGAGAAAAGGACCAGAAAAAGCAAAAGCAGATTTGGCAAAAGAGTGTTTAACACGAGTTAAGAAAAAGCGAGAAGAAGAAGACGATCGTAAACCGGGGCGTTTAGGTTCAATTAATATATCTGATAAGTACTTAGGAAATAATTTAGATTGAGACTTATACATGAACGTGCAAATTTTAAAAATTATTCTATATTTTATAGGTAGCCAGTGCAAGAGAACAAGATATGGAGATATATGAGAAAAGAAAGGGGCACGAGCAACTAGACGAGCAGCAGAGTTAAAAGCTTTACTTAAAGGATAGAGTATAGAGTCAGGAAGACCATAGTAGAGCGAGTTACAATAATCAATCCTAGATAAGACTAACGAAATAACAAGAATCAAGAGTTTTAGAATCAGGTAAGATAATAGGAGGAATAGTAATTGAGTGTTTAGATTTATTAAAACAAATTAATTCAAACTTAGAAGGATTAAGTTTAAGACACATAGAATCAGACCAAGCGATAATCGAAGAAAGACATAGAGATAAATTATGAAGAACACTATTGAGATTAGATAGAGGAAAAGAAGTATAAATATAAGAATCATCAGCATATAGATGACTAGAGAAAGAAAAGTTATTAATAATACGAGGTAGTTCAGAAGTATAGAGTATAAATAGAAGAGGGCCAAGGATAGAACCCTGAGGTACCCCGAAAGTAAGAGTAGAGGAGTTAGAAGTAGAATTATTGAGAACAACAGAAGAAAAACGATTACAGAGATAAGAAGAAAACCAAGATAGACAAGAATCAGTAATATTAAAAGAAAGATGCAGCAGTCTCAAGAGAATAGTATGGTCAACAGTATCAAAAGCTGAAGAATAGTCAAGAGCAAGAAGAAGAGTAAGATTACTATTGTCACTAGAGAGAAGGATATCATTGTGTATTTTAAGTAAAGAAGTTTCAGTACTGTGAGCAGGTCTGAAACCAGATTGAGATACAGGTAGCAAAGAGTTAAAGTCTAAATAGGATGAGAGTTGATTAAAAACAACTTTTTCTATTATTTTAGAGATGAAAGTAATATTAGTTACAGGTCTATAATTAGATAAAGAGGTAGGATCTAGGGATGTGTTTTTAAGAATAGGAATAACAATAGAATTCTTATAAGAAGTAGGAAATTTAGAGTTGGAAAGAGATAAATTAACTAATTTGAGAATGATTGGATAAAATATTGAAGAGAATTCTTTAAGTAAATTAGAAGGAAGTAGATCTAGAGAACAGGTTGTAGACGACATAGAATTAATAATTTTAGTTAGTTCTAAAAGATTTATTGGAGTAAATACAGAGAAAGATTCAGTAGTAAGTTTAGTAAAGTTATGAGAAGGAGAATTAGAATTAGATGTTCTTAAAGAAGTAATTTTATTTACAAAAAAGTCATGAAACTGTTGAGCAGAGAAAGATGAGTGAGAAGATTTTTTATGTAGAAGTTTAGATAGAACAGACCACCTATTTTTAGATGTTGAAGCAGATGTTATAGAATTTCTAAGAAAAGTAGAGTGTTTAGAGAATAGTAGATATTTATAATTAATCAATTCAGATTCATAGATAGAATAAAGAGAGTTAGATGGATTTAACCTATAGGCTTTCTCCAGTCTTCTAAGACTTTTCTTGGCTACTACACAAGCATAATCAAACCAAGGAGCCTTACGAGAATAGAGCCTATAAGTAAAAGATTTAAGAGGAATAAGCTTATCAAGAATAGAAGTAATGTAGATATTAAA